TCACTTTGCCACAGTACTAAGGTATTACCTAAAGCCTTGGTTCTCAACTGGTGGGTCGTGAGCCAAAAGTGGGTCACGACCCCGTGTTCAGTGCGTCAACGCATGCCTTTCACTTTTCTAGGTGAGAGGCTCCTCTGCCTCCCCATAGAGCAGCACTGTCAGTTCTCATGCCAAACAGCCATTCAAGATATGCTGCCTGGCACCAAGTGTCAGCTTGAGGTGGGGTAGGATGGGGCGGTGCCGCCGCACCGGGGCCTGAGCCTACGGGGGGCCCAGTATCTATTCAAACACAGCCCTGGGGCAGAGATGGGGGGGCCCGTTGGTTTCTGGCCGCCGGTTACCATCGGATCGGTATGCGCCGGGAGTGATCACATTGGCTGACGGACCCCCTGTGTGTGACGTGTCCATCTCAGCGCGCCCGTGCACTCAGGCGGCTGTCTGCTGGGTCCTCACGGCCGAGGCCCAGGGCTGCCCCCTGCAGTGCCTGTAGGCTTTTTTTTTATTCTCGGCCCCCTCATTTCTGCGCCAGGAGTATCAGGTCTTTCCGACACTCCCGGCGCAGAGACGAGGGGGCACGTCGGCCGCCAAAAACTGTGGAGGGAACCGGGGATATGGGTTAGAGGGTTTTTTTTGTTGGGGGGGGGGGGCAAAAATTATCTTGCACCAGGGCCCTTTGTTCCCTAGGTCCGCCACTGGATGGGGCTATGGCTGCAAGGAGCTCCATCCATGCGTACATTGCTGTACTAGCAATGCACATATGGATGGAGCTCCATCACAGCACAGCAGCCCACACTGGACCCCAGGCTGAGGATCCACTCCAGTTCTCATAAAATCGGTAGACTAGGTGGATCTTTTGGAGTGTGTATGTGTGTGTGTGAGAACGTCTGAGTGTATGAGATTGTGTCTGTGGTTCTGTGTGTCTGTCAGTGTTTGTGAGGGCCCGTTCACACTACTACAGTGTGTTGAAAGCGCAGTCCCGTGCGATTAACGCACTGTACTTTGCAAAATTGCACCTACTGCGAATTCTGGTGTTGGAGGTGTGTTGCATTGTCATTCATTTGAATGGCACCCCAAACACTACTCCCACCCTCAGTTAAATCGCCTGCACTGGAACGCACAGTACCGCAATGTTGTGCGTTTCAGTGCGGTGCGACTTGGGTCATGAATTAATTACCAAGGTCAAATGTGGGTCCTGAGGTTACACAGGTTGAGAACCATTGCTCTAAGGTATACTGTGGGAAATGTATCAGTTCTGTTGCACAGTAAGGCAATAAAAACTGGGGCAAAAAGGAACTTGACCCCAGCACTATATGTCTCCCACCTCCCCACTGCCATCTCTAACCATCCTGTGCATGCACTCATGTGCCACAGCTCTCTGCCAGGTATTCAGGACATGGCAGAGACCTAGGGCAAATCTGCACATGCAGGGGAAATCCCCGCACATGCACACAGATGCTGCTGATTTTTGGTATCTGGGACCTTGAAGAGACCTGTGGTCACTGTGCACATGCGCAGGAATCTCCCAGCGTGCCGCTGGTCTCTAACAGGTCCCTAACATCCTGCAGAGACCTGTGGCACATCTGCACATGCACTGAATCTCACAGTGTACCTGCACCCCTGAGTAAACCACTGCCTACTGGCATGTGATGTGGAAATACCAGGAGGCATCAGGCATCCTTATGTAATTCTCCCCAAGGCGAGGAATCAGGAAAAGCTCTGCAGCAGCACAAAAAAGGTACCATTCATTTAAAAATTGTTTCAAATATTTTCCAATTTTGTTTTGGGGGGGGGGGGGGGGAAAAAAAATATGAGTTTGAGTGAAAATCTGTTTAATCTACAGTATTAATTTAGTAGAAGACCTTCACAAAGCTGACTCAGTTGCCTGCCTAGCTTAATAGATGTCAAGGATTGCACACAAAAAAAAAGTTATGTATACTTTGCTACGTGAGAGCCAGACCAATTTACAAAGAGATGTGTCGAATTTTGTTAATAATGTGTTTCATGAAGGTTTCTTTCTTTCCAAATGATGGCTGAAGCTTCATTCACAATGGAGCAAAAAAGCTGTGCATCATTAAGGGCTGGTCCAGATTTGGAGACGCGGTGCTATGCATGCAGTGAGTTTTTGATGTGTTCCAGTAAAAAAAAAAAAGTATGTTAGCTGCAGTGCGTGTATTAAATTGCAGTAGCCAATAACAGGCTGGCTATTGCACCCACCCAATGCCAGCTGTCAATCAACAGAGGTGGACCTGATAGAAAACTTCAGGTCCCTCCTCTGCTGATTGACAGCAGGCAGTGGGCGGGTGCTGTACCCAGCCTGTTATTGGCTATTGCAATTTCAAATATCCAATAGCAGAAAAAAAAAGTTAAACAAATAAAGTTAAATTAATAAAAAGTAAAAATGTAAAAAAATAAACAAAATACAAAAAAAGTTTAAAAAATAAAAAGTTAAATAAACTAAAATTAAAAATCCCCCATAAAATGAAAGGCCCCAGCCCCTGCAAACACACATAAAAAAAAATTAATAAATTGCAGACGGTATGGAGCCACGCACAGCTGCACAACTTAAAAAAAAAAGAAAAAGCAGCCTCTGGGGAGAAGAACCCTGCAATAAAGGTGAGGGGGTGCAATTTGACCATGTTACACCCTAGAAATGTGGTCCAGGCTAGTGCTAGCGCAAGGATGTATAGGCATAGGCAGCCAACTAAGGGGGTGCATGAGCGCCACGGATCTGGTCTGGACAGAATCCGGATGTCGTGCGAACAAGCCCTAAAGGTTAATTGTACGTTCAAACAGCTCAATCCTTACAGCTCTCCCTCTCCATTCTAGCTATAGTCCCTTATGCATAGTACAGTACAGGTCAACGGGAAACCTGGTGTATAAGTTGTGAGCTCCATTAGGTGGCACTCCAGTCCTCTTCTAAGCTGTTCATCCTCATGGTGTTACACATGCACAGCCTTTTCCCCATAGACCCTAATGGAATAGCTGACGACCTGCATACTGCAAAAAGTCAAAGGCTTTTCCACTAGTGTCTCTGGAAAAAAGCTGCACATGTAAAGCACCGCATGTCCCTGATGGCTTGGAGAAGGACTGAAACACCACCCAATGAATGCCTAGTGCCTGGACATGAGTTGCCAACTGACCAGAAGCATGCTCAATGTGGTAAAGCTAAAATTGATAGAATGGGGATGTTATAATTTGTTAAAGCGTAGCTATCCTTTAATGCACATTTTATGGTGTTTTGCTATCCAAAAGAGAAGTCCAGGATATAAGGATCCTTGTGGATTTGGGAATCGACCTTGATGTAGAGCCAAGTCCCATACTTTCAGTCTCTACACAACTATTAATAACTGAAATTCACTAAGTATGTATGGGCTTTAGAACAGACCTGAAAGGCCAATTGTTTCCTTAAACTGACCCTGTCACCACAGGATCACTTTTAGAAAATTGGTCACCTGTGAAAGCAATATACAATACACACACACTTACCTTTCTGGTGGCCTGCATATGGAAAAGCTGCAGCTTCTCTGCTCCTAAGCTGCTGCAAGCTTTCTATACTTCTAGCTATGTAGAATACTTGCTCCACCTTTGGCCACTGTTTCCTCGTTCAACACTACAGGACGTACAAGCTGGCAGAGGCAACAACCAGTAGATGCAATGTCTCATGGGATTTGTAGTTCCACCACAGCTGGAGGGCCGGAGGTTTGAGACCCCTGATCTAAGATTTTCACAGGTGAGCCAATTTGTAAAAGTGACCCTGTGGTGATGGTTAAAACCCAATCAGAATTTTTTTCTTTGCTGTATGCGTGTTGCATTGAGGGAATGTTGTCATTGACCGACAACAGGAAGTCTCTCCAAAGTGACGGGAAATCCCCTCCTAGAGAGTTGTACTAACCAATAAAATGAATGTGTTGCCTTCACATAACCCGCCAATGCAGTGCAATAGTGTGAATGAGCCTTCAGGATTTGAATGTTGTATATATGATAAAAGGATTTTAGATTCCAGGAAACCTACCCCTCCTATATAGGACAGTAATGTGAGTTTTAAAGATTTGCATTCTAATTATTTCTTATTAAATAGAGCATGGTACCCCATCATCTTGTTCCGGTAAGCAGTGACATTCCTCAATCACCTTCTAATAAAGAGTATTATTTAAGCACCCCAAATAATTACTCCCATCTAAAATAAAGAAAGCCAGAATATGAAATTAGACATTTATGCTAAAATACAGGCACACCATGATCACTCTACAGATAGGAACAAACAGCTACGAGACAAACTGAAATATCAAAAATAAGAATGTTTATTACAAATGGACTAACAAAACATTGTACCATATCGTATAGCAGATGAAACAAATGCATCAACAATGACAATACCACTAGTGGTAAGTAAACACTGCACTGTAAAGTCACTTCACAGAAGGGAGGGACATTGTAGATCACAAGCTGGCAGTCCAATACAAGTCCATCTTTGGGGAAGCTGCAGGACACTCCTACTGATGACTCCCCGTAGATCCGGTGTATATTGAACGTTGTGAAATGGAATGTCCGCTGAAGTCAGCGCTGACTCAACCGAAAGTTTCCGGAGCCCAGCTACTGACTCACCCGCATCTCCCGGAAAGAACCGGTCTGTCCGCTATTCTGTGGTTTCTGTTTAACCCTTTCTCCGACTTCCTGAGGACTTCTCCCCTAGGAGGACTCAGATATTGGAGCTCGAAGCTTTTGAGTCCCAGTGGACGAAGGCGACCCGCAAAAACAGTTCAGATAATACAGATGGTCCCCTGTTCAAGGCTCAGGGAACTGGTAGACGTCCTTCTTTGAGCTGCCGGACTGCATGAGGGTGCTGGGTCTGTACCACCAGTTCAGGGTGCTGGATCGGTACCACCAGTTCAGCCTCGATGTTGGCTCATCCTCCTGGCTGATCCGGACCCCTTGTTCTCTGTTCATCGCAGGAGTTCAGGGATTTGACTTGAACACATGAGCAACTCCAAGTTCTTGGCTCAGAAAGCCTCCACAGCTCTCCCGTGCACCGCAGCCATGCCTATCGCTTGGGGTACCCTACATCCTCCAGGTACCTGGCTGCGGACGCTTCTCAGGACCCTCTGCAGAACTTCGGCAAGGCCAGGAAACGCTCCACCTTGTGGCTGTGGCAGCGGAGTCTCCTGCCAGAGGCATGCCCGCTTGCTGGGCACCAGCTCGGTTAGACCGGACCCGCAGGACCTTCTCTTGCGGCTTTCTCTGACTTCCACGCTGGGTGGGGGCACGGGTTTGGGTTCAGGAACCTGAACGGACGTCACCATCAGGTCCCGGGCGCTCCGCATCACCATGGCCAGCTGCAACGAGCGGTGGAGCCTCATCCCCCCTCGCTGGGTCCGGGAGCGATAAAGCTTTACGGCGGACAATGATGCGATCCGCTGAGCCTCCCGGTGTACGGCCTCCTGGTGTGCGAGAAGCTGAGCGTACCCTTCCATGGCTTCCAATTCAATCAGAACACCAAACCGTCTTCTCCAAAAAAGAGAGCTAATGAGACCCCAGCTGTCCCTGGAAAGGGTTTTATACAGCTCACTGAGAAGAAGGCGGAGACAATCAATGGGCGGAGCTCTGGGCGGGGCTCAGGCTTAAAGTGGCAGGATGTGACTATCAAAGGAACGGAAAATATGACGAGCATGCCTGCCTGGGGCTCTTCGAATTTTGATCGGGCACACACAGGAATGCTAAACACAGTCCTAAAAAAACACATGTGCGACCACCATACAGACTTATACATGCTACCAAAGGTTTACTAAACACAGAACATGTTCCATACACATCTGAACACTATGCATACAGAAACATGTTCCATACACATCTGAGCACTATGCATACAGAAATAGCAATTCCCCTATTACAGATCAACTGCAACATTTGTAACAATGATCAGGGACACAGGAATACCCCACAGAGATCTGATCACTGCACATACATAACAATGCAGATCTGACCCACATACAGACCGATACATGCTACAAAAGGTTTATTAAACACAGAACATGTTCCATACACATCTGAGCACTATGCATACAGAAACATGTTCCATACACATCTGAGCACTATGCATACAGAAACATGTTCCATACACATCTGAACACTATGCATACAGAAATAAGAGGATTTTATAGAAGCACTTTGATATCTTACCCCCAAAAAAGAGGGTTGAAGAAACACTCCCGGGTCTAAAACCAAGGACGCCAGAAGGCTATGAAAGAATCAGACTATTGTGCAGAAAACACACAGCTACAAGAAAGGCCAAATGTAACATTATAAATGTTTTATTACAGATTGCAACATTTGTAACAATGATCAGTGACACAGGAATACCCCACAGAGATCTGATCACTGCACATACATAACAATGCAGATCTGACCCACATACAGACCGATACATGCTACCAATAGATCAATAATCCTAGAACATGATCCATACAAATGGGATCAATGTGCTACACAGAGATTGGATCAATATATACAGGACTGATTAATGCCCTATCCGGATCTCATTAATTCACAGGCACAGACGCCCCCCAGACATCGAATACGAGATCTGAATAACAACACAGATCTGATCAGCCAGAAATCCGCCCCGTGATTGTAATCAACACGCAGAGATCAGACCATTCATAAAACTAGAGTAACGTGATTAGAAACATTGAGTCACATGACAGCTACATTTTATCAATCATGACATATATTAGTGCTTCATCCCTTTCTGCAGCACGCTCCCCCAATCACAGGAACGGATCTGTTCCTGACTGTAAAGAGTTAACTACAAACGTGACCTCATCTCCCAGTGCTTTCCGCAGCGGATTCCAGGCCCATATAAGGGAGGCGTGACGTCAGGGGGCGGTCCGTAGGAATATACGCCAAGAGAAGTAGCCTGGTGACTTCCTTGGCCCATATATGGAGTGCAGGAGAAGGAAGAGAGAAGGGAGATTCGCTGCAGGGAAATTCGCAGTTATATATATGGTGACGTAAGAGGCAGGTTGTCAGGCTGCTCACCGCCATATGTGACATGCTGTTTATAATACATAACACCTATAAAACCGCAGCCAAAGGACGCATGCTTCTTATCACCTGATTGTAGTGTTCAGGTTCATAGAGGTAATATAATGGTAGCTGTGCATCGTCTGAACTCACAGGGCTTTCCTAACCCCGGGGATATATATACATCGGTGCACACACAATATGGTTTTGTTTTTTTTAACTTGAAGGAAAAGGGTTTTTCTTTTACAGTTCTCAGTCCTGATCTCTGTAAATAGAAAGGGTTCCCAGTCCTGATCTCTGTAAATAGAAAGGGTTCCCAGTCCTGATCTCTGTAAATAGAAAGGGTTCCCAGTCCTGATCTCTGTAAATAGAAAGGGTTCCCAGTCCTGATCTCTGTACATAGAAAGGGTTCCCAGTCCTGATCTCTGTACATAGAAAGGGTTCCCAGTCCTGCGTTACTACAGTGTCAGCTGAATTACACTTTGGATCACAACTATTGCCTACACCCAATTCATGCAAATATTTGTAAAATTTATTAAGGTGCCCATACACTGTACGAGAATCGCGGGAAATCCCGCGATATTCCCTGATGGCCACTGCCATCAGGGAATATTGTTTCCATGAAAGGGGTGTGTTTGGTCACTTTATCATCAATTTGAGCTCCAGTATCTCTTCTATTGGATCAGACTACACGGGTCAGCCTTTGCTCCCCACATGCATCAATGAGCCTTGGCCATCCATGAACCTGTCTCTGGTTCACCGGTTTTCCCTCCTTGGACCACTTTTGGTCGGTCCTGACCACCGTAGACCGGTAATATTCCACAAGAGATGCAGTTTTGGAGTTGCTCTGACCCGGTCGTCTAGTCATCACGATTTGGCTCTTGTCAAAGTCGCTCAAATCCTTACACTTGTCTATTTTATCTGCTTCCAACACATCAACTTCAGGGACAGAATGTTCACTGGCTGCACAATATATCCCCCCCACACTTCCAGTTGCCATTGAAATATATCCCCCCACTTCCAGGTGCCATTGTAATATATCCCCCCACTTCCAGGTGTCATTGTAATATATCCCCCTCCACTTCCAGGTG